GTGTGTGGCTGAAATTATAGTGTGTATACACTCTCTCAAAGTTTTCCAAGAGTTTGTGGTGATTTGTGATTCCATTTGAGGAATTCACACTATTGGTGCTTGGCCCTCAAACTCCTTAGGAAGCAAACTCATCAAAAAGGTATGTAATCTCATCTAATTCTTTTATGTTTAAAAGTACCCCATGCCATGTTAGATAGGTTATGAACCTTGGAAAATTATTATTTTGCATGTATTTAGACAAACATAGATCCATGGTTCATTAGGGTTGCATGCACACTTAGGAAGTGTTAGATTGCTCAAAACCCAACATAACCATGTTGATGTCAAGGGGGAGCATCATACTACGAATCCATTGGTTGAGGGGGAGCCAAGTGGATCGAATCATGATGTGGGTAATGATAGACATAATAATTTTTATGATTTGGATGATAATATCTCAATTACAAGAGAAGTATTAGATGCTAAAGAAATATTTGAAGATGCCCAATTGGAATTTGATCCTGCATATCTATCAATGGACAATTAGAATCCTGCATATCCATCGATGGAAAATGGACAAGAATTCATCCAAAAGAACATATTATGGGCGATCAAAATTCAGGTATTTTGACACGAGCCCAGCTTCGAGCCAAAAACGAAGTATTAAATGTTCATCAAGAATTTTGTATGTTCAATGTTTTTATTTCAAAAATTGAACCAAAAATAGTCAATACTACATTAGAAGAACTCGATTAGGTTGTCACTATGCAATCTGAGTTGGTTGAATTTGAACGAAACAGTGTTTGGAGATTAGTTCCTAAAACTGATGTTGTTTCGATTGTTTGGCTAAAATAGGTTTTATGAATAAAACTAACAAAGAAGGAAATATTATTAAAAATAAAGCTAGGCTAGTCATAAAAAGGTTATTCTCAACAAGAAGGCATTGATTATGAGGAAGCCTTTGCCCCTGTCGCAAGACTCAAGGCGGTATGGATTTTTATGGCTTATACGGCTCATAAGGATTTTGACGTATACTAGATGCACATAAAGTGTGCCTTCCTCAATGGTGTTCTTCAAGAAATTGTGTATGTTGAACAACCACCTAGTTTCGTTAATGATAAGTATCCTAATCACTGTTATATTCTAGACAAGGAAGTTTATGGGTTGAAACAAGTGCCTCGTGCGTGGTATACAACTCTTACCAATTTTTTGAAAATGGACAAATTTAAACAAGGATCAGTTGATCCCACTTTATTTTGAAAGAAAGTAGGGGATCATTTGATGCTTGTTCAAATTTATATCGATGACATAATATTTGGTTCAACTGATCCTTTGTTGTCTAATGAGTTTGGGGAGTTGATGAAGAGTAAATTCTAAAAGAGCATGATGGGGAAAATAAATCATTTCTAAAGTTTAAATATTCGTCAAATTAAGGAAAGAATTTTTATCAACCAATAAAATTATACTCAAAACCTACTTGAAATATTTGGCATGATGAATTGTACGAAAGTTAAAGTTCCCATGGCAGTCGGCACTCGCTTAGGTCCTTCATTAAATAATCCAGTTGTTGATCTCAAGACATATAGAAGCATGACCAGTTTGCTTTTGTATTTAACTACAAGTTGACATGTTATAATGTTTTTTGTGTGTAGTTATGCCAGGTATCAAGCAAATCCAAGAGAACCACATCTTACAGTAGTGAAAAACATCATTCAATATTTACATGGAACAAAGAATCTAGGCTTGTGGTATCCGTCGAAAACAATATTTTTTATTCAAGCTTTCTTAGATGCGGATCTAGTGGGTTGTCAGTTCGATCAAAAAAGCACAACGGGAGGGGTGTCAATTTCCATATAGGAAGCTTGTGAGTTGGCAGACGAAAAACAAGACACGTGTATCAATTTCGACAACCGAGGCTAAATACATCATTGCTGCTACTTGTACATCTCAAGTGGTCTACATCCAAAATCAATTACGTGACTATGCGATTAACATGAACAAAATTCCTATAGATTGTGATTCTCAAAGCACAATTCATATATCTCGTATTCCAGTTCAACAATCGAAAACTAAACATATTGCTCTTCATTATCACATTATCAAAAATCATGTTGAAGATGTGAATATTGAAGTCGATTTTTTCAAAAACAATTAATCAGCTTGCTGATATCTTTACAAAAGCATTGGACGAAAAAACATTTTTAAGAATTTTACATGAATTGGGAATGATGGAAGCTTGTTATGTTCCTACTTCTTCATAATTTTTGGATTTAATTTGACAATGTTTTCAACTAACTTTTGAATGTTTAATTCACTTTCGACTGTCGGATTCATTTTTGATTATTGGATTCACTTTTGTTGGTTTACTTCACTTTCGACTAGTTGGTATCATTTCGTGTATTTTACTAACCTTCATTACTTGTTTGATATATGTTCAGAGGTTATTGTTCACGTTCAACATTCGCATGCCTTCGCATTCGACTTTCCTCTTATTCATTCAGTATCAATTTCGTTTGTGGAGTTCGTCAGTTTTTTATGTGGAAATAGTGTCTAAATGAGAAGTATATGTTTTTAGAAAAGCATTCGACTACGGGGCATTTCTTTGGAGAATAGAGAACATTGGCTCTTGTATGGTGTATTTGTTCTCTCTTCAAATATCCAATGTTTGTTATATCCTTTTTCTTGCTATTGCACTTTCGTTTAAAAAATTTTAAAAAAAATCCGAAAGTATTTTCATATTTATTTTTCATTTATAAAATTCAAAAATATGAAAAGATTTTCTTATTTTTTTATTTTATAAAATTCAAAAATTCAATGATTTTCTTATTTTTGTTCTTTGTTTAAAAAAATCAAAAATCTATAAATATCTTAGTTATATTTAAAGTTATATTTTTGAAAAAAAAAAACAAAATTATTTTCCTTAGTTTGGTAGCTCATTGTAATAACATGTTGTTGTTTCGCATGCCAAATGAAAACATTACAAGGGAACAAGTATGAAACAAAACTTTTATCCTGGTTAGGAGTCCCTAGCAGCATTCTGCAGCATGTTGTCCACAAGCTCCATATACTTTATGTGTTCGAAGCCTTAATGAAACTCTCACACGAAAGTTTTTTCCCAATCAGGCTATATTCTCATTAGTCAACGAGCTACCTTTCTCTTCTCATGATAAGTAAATAGATTTTTGCTAAGTCCAAATTTTATTCAGAGGTATAATGAGTTCTTATCACCAATCTTTTTCACCCAAAATTTCTTTCATGCTCACTCACAATGACACATACCCAAGACATCTCCGGTCGAAACCTACCAGGATATATGTATGTCAAAAATCTAGGTTTATGATATGGAATCATTTTTCCATGATGAAGGTGAAACCCAACAAATTTAAACCTAATAAATTGAAGGTGAACATTCATGTTCAAGATTTTAACTAAACATTTGTTTCAATGTACCACTTTCGATGTTCAAAATCTCATTTTCATTCGTGTTGCATGATCTTGATAAAATTTACTAATCCCAAGTCATTTTTTCCCAAAAATATCAAGATTCTCAATTTTTTTTGAAATGAGATTTCCGTTTGAACATCTTTTATGTAATCTTCGTTACTCAAATTTTTTTCAAAACCTTACTTGTGTTTTTACTACACTGGTCATCCAAGTATTTGTACATAAATATTCACACTTATGTTAAGTTGGGAACTTGTGTGCAAATGAAGCCTCCTTCGAACCTAAAGGAAAAAAGAGGCCCTTCGCTACTCATTATATAGTTTCTATTATGATTCACGACAAACCACACAAGCAATTCGTCATCTCTCTTGATGTCGAATGAAGAGATCTTTTCTCAGGATCATGTTGCTTTTATATCAAATCAACTTTGATATCACAATTACCACATTTTTTTAATTTTCTTGTATCTTTTTCTATGGAACACTTATGCACTAGAATACTTGAGGTTTTAGGTAATACTAACTCGAAAATTAGACTTCGTAAAGTCTGGAAAATGATTTTCCTGATCATTCCCACAAGTGAATGAGCCTAGCCTCGATAACGAAGGATGGTTCTTTCTTGGTAACAAACCTTATGACGTTCTATCTTGTTAACAAAAATTATAACATCTTTATCTTGTTGGGGGAAGCGAAAGATCAGTTGGATGTGACGGTTGAAGACTTTCATGAGAATTTAGGAAAAAAGTGATCATGACTTTTATATGTGGTAGTTCTAATGGTGACAGTTAAGTACCCAATATTCCACGTGGCATTCTACTATTGGTCAATGGTTTGAATTCAAAATTCATGCCAGTTGTATAAGGAAATTCTACCTTCCAATTTTGAGTTTAAGTTCCCTTAAACTTCTCAAAAACCCTAATTGCTCATTGAGAATTTTCTCTCGAAAATTCTCTCTAATTTTCTATGATGGCTGAATCAAAACACAATTATGATCAAGTCACAACCAATGATGATGATTCTTGTTAGGAATTAATCCTTAATGATCGATTAGATTATGACAAAGTAAAGAAATAACACAACAATGAATCAATGATGTCGAATGATTAACAGTCACACCTCAGAAGAACTCTATAAAGAATTGCTACTATAGAGGCATGTTTAGGGTTACAAAATAAAAGATAAGATTTAGCTAAAATACAAAGCATGCATGCCTCTTAAATACTTTAACCCTAGAATAAATAATGAGTGGACAGGCCCAACTCGATAATACAAAATGATTAAGCAAAAGGCCCAATGATGCAACATCAAATATCCAACAATCTCCCCCTTTGCGTCAATTGAGGCACGAAACCATTAGCCTTGAATTCGCTTTTGAACTTCGTAGACTTTGGTAATGATGCCAACAATTCACCGTCGAACTTGCATGTACCACAAAATCATATCAGAGAAGCATTTGATGTCATCCTTATTTTTGCCCTTGAATCTCTTCACCATGTCCAATATATGCTCAAGAAATTTAGTAGTAAACAAATGTTTGTCAGAAAGGAACGAACAACCTTTGCGATAGTCTGCATCGGTTCAATCCCTAGCCTGGTACACCACATACCATTCCTTGCTATACATCTTCCCCAGCTTCAGCTTCTCAAAATCGTTTGGAGATTCCTTAAGAACACCAGTATGCTTCTTTTGCAACACCGCTGCAACCTCTACGTCCATGTCCCCGGTCTCTTGGATGTAAGACTTGATCATTATTTAAAGATGTGACATGACAGAGTCGTATTTGTCTTTTTCTTTCACCAGCAAATTGTAAAGAACGAACCAGTGATTTGGGTTGAGACAGGACAAATCAGCAAGGGTAAACTGGTAGCACTGACTGGTTGAACCTTTGGAAACTTTGAACTTCGCGTTCGGAAAACTTTAGATCTCGATTGGCCCTGTGACTTTCACACCGGTGATCTTGCTTAACGACCATGTATCGTGTTGCGGCTTCATATGCTTTAAATAAAACAAGAATAGAATATGATCAGCCCTACTGTCAGTGTATGGAACATTCGCCACTTTCACAAAGGAGCGAAACCTAAAAGCCTTAGTAGTGATTAGGAGATCCAATTACGAATCTTGTGTATTTTGAATATCAAAAGACACAATTTGTTCTAACCAATATTGGTTGGGTAGATCGATTGCATCATTTAGAATTCTCTTCATGGTCCATGCAGGAAACAAAAGCTTCTTGCTTTGAAGAGTTGCATGATCCTCTTTCTCAGCCTTTTCTTTTTCTTCATCCTCACGGATGATTCGTTGGTGCTCATCTATTTTGGCATCACGAGCTTTTAGTCTTTTTAGTTCTTCTTCATCGGGCACTTCTTCATCGCCATCGTTAATAATAGGCTCATCACTAACCAATTTTTCTTTGAGCTTAGGTTCTTTCTTGACAACAAGAGGAACTGGAGCATTGAATTCTTATTTTCGTCATTCACCAAACACACCTTCTCTCCATTGTTTCTGATTAAGGCTTTCATCTGAAACACCTTCAAGGTGGTGAAGCATTGCGAAGACTAGCCTTAACTTTTCTGCCAGATACTTGCGTATTGTGATGGTGGTCATGGAGTCCCTGGTCTCAATGATATCCGAGAGCATGCCAGTAACATCAATGATACAGCTTCACATGACTGGCCTCTCACATAACAGATCATTGACTTGTTTCTCCAAAGTATTCAGATTGACACTTGACTCCTTGACTTCTTCGGTCTTGATAGCAAGAGAGTCCTTGAGATCATTCTCGGTGCTAGTTCTTCTTGAAGCTTTAAGATTTGAGACGAAATAGAGGTTTGAAACACTTCATGGTCAGTTTTCAGACCCGTGCAAATCTCTTGCAACTTCGTCTTCACGGTTTTGAAGAGACATCCCAGACTCTTCAAAGTTTCATTTTCTACAATGGTATTGGAGTTAAAAGTGGTTTGGAAGTTCTCCATGAAATTAGTAGTGTCAGCAATTAGTTTATTGACTTTTTCGGTCATGGTCTTGCAAACCTCAGCAGAATCAGCAATAGTCTTATTCATCTTCTCTGCATTGGATGTATGCTCTTTGGAGATTCATCCAAAGAGTGACTCAACAACATCTTTAGCATATTCATCATAAGAGGAATCCTTAGAAGAGAGATATAATTTATCAATCTTATCATGAAGGGACTGAAGCTTCCCTTTCGTAACCTGCACCTCATCTTCACTCTCAGTTCGGATTTGAAAAAGAACTGTAACTAAAACCCCCCAAGATCTTCGTCTTCATCATCACTGAAGACCATATCTGGGTCATTTTGGTTAATAGGGGAAATGGGAGGTGAAACATGAGTTAAGAAACCTATAGTTGTAGCCCCCGTATCAGATACATGTACTGAAACAAAAGGTAGGGTAGAGGTGGTGGGAGGAACTTTGGAATCAGTGAACAATGGGATTGAGAGAGGAATAGTGGTTTGTTATTGTGTATAAACTGGTGGAGGGCAAGCAGCAATTGTTATTAGGATAGAGGAAGTTTTAGTTGAAGGAGGTGGAGAAGGAATAGAGTCATTAAAAGGTTGAGTTACCTCACGATTGGATGTGTTCTCTGTATTATGAAGAGTTTCTTCCTCGTTGCGAACATCTTCATTATGAACCTCCTCATGGCGAACAGGATTGTTCTCCTTAGAGTGGATGTCAAATTAAGTGTCTGAATCTGAACCTTCTCTTGCACTTGGTGCTCGGGTCTTTCGCTTACGAGCATGCTATTTTCACCTTTTGGGTTGAGCTGCATATGGAGCAGCTTTTTCCTTTCGCTTCTTTGGAGTAGTAGCAGGACCCTCTTTTGGTTGCTTTTGCTTAACCCCCCTTTTTCACCTTGTCAGCTTCATCAATAGTCAAGTGTATCTCAGGAGTAATAGTGCGAGCTCCTGAAGATGGAAGCTTTTTGTACTACTCCAAAATCTTGCTTGCAGCTGGAACACAACGAAACATGGTCTTCGGAATGGAAACAGCAAAAGTGAACTTCGAGTTGTCAGAAATGGTGATTTTGGTTGTGTGAAAAGTAGTAATCGAAGACATCAAGGAATCCTTCATCATCATAATTTGGTATTTGTCGATTTCCCGTTGAACAACAATAGTCCAGAAACGAGCATAGGAAATCTCATTGTGTCGAGTCGTGAAGTGAGTACCAGTTAAGCCTACAGAACAATGCCATATTCAAGATTGATTCCGTAGTAGAGACCATACATCAAGGTCATAAACAGCGTACTAGCACAGTCTGAACATGTGACTCTTTCGAAAAAAGCTTTAAAGAGAAGAGTAACACAGACCATTCCATTGAGGGGGCTAGTTGGGTTTCTTGAACTTGAAGATTGATGGAATGAGATCTTTATACCCCATCTCATAGAACATCTCGATAATAGTTGTAGTGGAGATTGTGTGTGGATTCACCATTGATTCATCAAAAGCTAGACCTAGCAGAGAGCAGAACCTTGCCTTGGTGATAGAGGTTTTCTTACCAGAGATTCCATAGGTGATCCGGTCCTCTTCCTTGATTTACGATGTAGAACAATAAGCCTTCAAGAGTACAGATATTGAAACAAACTCAACTTTAGTTAAAGCAGTGACCAAAGGGGAATACTTCAAGCATTCGTTGATAGGTAGCATGTATGAATCATACTTGAATGGAGACAAATGAAGAATCAAGCTTTGATTCTGTTTGACGGCAAGCAGTGAGGAGAGTGCGGTTTGATCATGAACTGATGAAGAATCAGATATTGTTGCAGATTGATGAAGAAGAAGAACAATAGAGGGAAATCGCCGTTAAGGTTCTTGAGAGAATTTGATAGTGGTAAAAGGTAAGGTTGTGAATCAAAACTCCTTTTATACGATTACGTAGGAGAGAGAAGTTGAAGCATTAATTGAGTGATTTCCTTTGAAACGATGCCTGAAAAAGCGGGATTTGACAACTGTAGCCCTGACAAAAGTGTCAGGCGGTGTAATAAGTGGAAGCATTTCAAATTCTACGTGCCTAAAATTTCAAAATTTTATCCACCAACAGCCGCGTCATCATTATCTTGTTCTCATCCTTTCAATCTCCATTTGTTTTAGTGAATATCCAGACGGCTGTTCACATTTTAAACAAAAGGAAATTTATGTGAATCACCTTCAGCATTATAGACTCTGCGAAACTGAAAATCTCATAAGTACCACAAGCAAGACTTTAGGAAAATCAAAAAGATTTTTATGCAAGAGTGTACCAAAGAAAAATAAATAAAGCAAGATATATCTGTGGGATATTAGCGATGTTTTAAAAGACACGAAACAATAGATCCCGAACAACGATCTCTTCCTTCAAAATCAATAGAGATTGTGAAGTGTCTGTGTGGTTTCCCGTTGAAATACGATCAAATGTTTAACAAGAAACATTGAAAGACATCTTTTCATTAGGATCAATGGGTGACTAACTCTCCAACCAAACAACGAACTTGACATAATAACGAATGTTGGATGAAGTATTCGTGTGACCAGTGTAGTCAGTTGAGCGAGTAGGCTTGGAATTATTTGAGTGACTAAGCGAAACTTTCAAATTCCAAAAAAATAAAACTAGATCTTATGGGAAGAAGTGACTTGGTACAATAACACTTCATAAAGATCTAATGACAGAAAAAGAGATTTCATTGTATAAACCACGAAGGTGGCTTTTGTTAATTCCATGGTGAAAATCTAGAACATTTAATTGTTCACCATTAATTCATGTAAGTGTGTTGGATTTTGGGTTTCACTCAGTTTGTGGTGAACGAAGCTAAGATCATGAACTCATAAGTTGTGTAACCATAAAACTCAATGGTATAGCTGAGAGTCTCAAGGGTTACAATTATGAGTGTGAAGGTAAATGGAGAAGAGTGAAGATGGTTCCAGAGAAGCGAATGTACCTCTTCTAAATGAAAGTGACTAAGCAGATAACTCGTAACTCAAAGTGATAAGAATAAGGTAGTTCAGGACTAATGTGAAATTAACAGCCTAATTGGGAAGAAACGATTGGTAGAAACGATTCATTAAGGCTTCACATCAAGTTAATAGAGGCTTTAGACAACATACAACAGAATGCTTCTAGGGACACTTAGCTAATACATAGATAAAGAATGTTATACCTACCCCCATCACAAAAATTTGTGCCTCCATGATCTTCTTATGTGTTGAAAAATGAAAAAAAAATAAAAGAAATATAGACAAACGGAAATAAAATATTTTTAGATTTTGACATTTTCATAAAAAGAAATAAAAACAGAGATAAATTATTTTTGAATTTTTGAATTTTTGGATGATGCGAAATAGGACGAACATTCATGCCGATTCGTGTCCCGAAAAAATCGGAAACAAATATTTTTGGATTTTTGCATTTTTTAAAACAAAATATTTTTGAAGATATTAAAAAATATACATAAAGTACAAAAAGGATATCAGCTAGACAAAAACACAAGTGAGCAGTGGTTAGCGAATACCTGCGAACGTTCGCATTGATTCGTGTCAACAATTTTATCAAAGCGAAGGTGGTTTCGATACAGATTCAGCTTCCATCATTCCTAGGCTTGAAAAATTCTATTGAAGGTTGTTTTAGGCAAGGATTTTGTGAATATATCAGCCAACTGATCAGAGGATCTAACAAAATGAATTTCAACATTGTCGTCTTATACATGATCCTTGATGAAATGGTACCTTAGTGCTATGTGTTTTGTCTTTGATTTTTGCACTAGGTTGTGAAAAATGCGAATTTCACTTTCAGAGTCATAGTAAAGAGGGATTCATTTAATACTTAAGCCATAGTCACGAAGTTGGCTTTGAATCTAAATGAACTGGGATGTACACGAAGTTGCAACTATGTATTCAGCCTCAGTAGTTGATAATGATACACATGTTTGGTTCTTGGATTGCCATCTAACTAGTTTGCCATCGAGAAATTGGCATCCACCAGTTGTGCTTTTTCTATCTAAACCACATCCCCCAAGGTAAACATCTGAAAATGCTTGAACAAAGAAGCATGAGTTCGCAGGATACCATAAGCCTAAAGATGAAGTTCGTTTTAGGCATCTGAAAATATTCTTGACTGCCACCATGTGAGGTTCGCGAGGGTTTGCTTGGAACCTGGCATAATAACAAACTGAAAACATAATATATGGTCTACTAGCTCTTAGATTCATCAACAAACCAATCATTTGACGATAAAGGGTCATATCTACAGCTGGTTTATCCAGAGATGGTGTTAGTTTCGTTCTGAATGTCATTGGAACCTTCGCTTTTGAGTCTCCCACCATTCAAAAATTAATGAGTAAAGTATTTGTATAATCTTCCTAGTTTATAAAAATGCCTTCAGGTCCCTATCTTATATTCAGTCCAAGGAAAAGTTAATAGGAACCATTGAACTCATCTCAAACTTAGTTTCCTTCAATTTTCAGAATTATGCTGTTAGGTTGGGATTAGTAGATCCGAAGATGATTTCATAAACATAAATTGGGACGACCATCAAGTGGTTACCCTCTTTCTTTTGAAAGAAGGTTGGATCAACCGAACCTTGTTTAAATTTTGACATTTTAAGGAAAGGAGCTAATGTTTCATACCATGATCTAGGCGCTTGCTTTAGACCATATACTGCTTTGTCTAGAATATAGCAATGATTAGGATACTTTTCGTTCACGAACCCAGGTGGTTGATCTACGTAAACTATCTCTTCAAGTTTGCTAATTAAGAATGCATATGTAACATCTATTTGTAATACCTCAAAGTTCTTACGTGCTACGTATGCTAGGAATATGTGTACTGATTCCAACCTTGCAACGGGTGTGAAGGTTTCTTCATAGTCGATACCCTCGTCCTGTTAGTAACCCTTAACCATGAGTCTCGCCTTATATCTTATTACATTCCCTTCTTTATCAAACTTATTATGAAAAACCTATTTCAAACCGACAACCAATGCTTCAGGTAGAGTAGGAATTAACCTCCGAACTTTTTTTCGTTCGAACTCATTGAGCTCGTCATGCATCACTTGCACCCAATCAGAATGATCA